GACTGGTGCTAAGATTGATACGGGTTGCTGCCAGCATCTTAGGTATCAACCAAGTATCTTTTTAAAATATATGATGTTCGGAGTAGCACAATTTTTTGCAGCTCTGCTGGTGTTATTGCAGGAAGCTGCACTTTCTCGATGTGTTTTGTAAAATTCTTGGACATGGTACCAAGTGCCCCGATGACGATGGGTATCACTGTTACATGTTTCATCCATAGACATGTAGTTTCGATGGCTAGGTCGCAATATTTCGTGATTTTTTCCAGTTCTTTTTCTTCGACTCTGGTGTCTCCTGGTACAGCGATATCAATAAACTCTACACTTCGGCCCACAACAACTCTGATATCTAGCGTGTTATGTTCCAAATAACGATCCGTCTATATTTGAAAGTCCCACAAGATCTGCACCTTCTTCTTTTTCTCAACTTTTTCCACTTTAATCATTTTAATAATAATAACAACAACAACAACAATAATAATAATAATTCGTTGCATAGTCAGCTATATGTTCAAACTGGGTTTGGCATTTTTGTCTACTATCGAGTCCTTACCAAGGACCTGGGATAGGCAGATCTGAATGTTTGATGGTGTTACAGATACAGTCACAGGATGGAAGCTGTTCCAAGTAAAACTGCTCCTAACAGACAGGAAGCAGCAGGTGAAGCTAACTAAGCAGAATCTCATCAGATACCTGTACAATTAGCATAGAGGCTCCACAAGGCTATGTGCTCTCTCCACTTCTCTCTATATACCAATGACTGCATCTCAAACAATCCATCTGTTAAACTATTAAAGTTTGCAGATGACACAACAGTCTCATTCGAGACAATGATGAATCCTCATACAGACCGGAGGTTGAACAACTAGCCTCGTGGTGCGAACAGAACAATCTGGAACTGAATGCACTCAAAACTGTAGAAATGGTGGTGGACTTTAGGAGAAACCCTCCCATACTACCACCTCTTAACAATACTAGATGACACAATATCAACAGTGGAGACCTTCAAATTTCTAGGTTCTACCATATCTCACGACCTAAAATGGACACCTAACATCAAAAACGTCATCAAAAAAGCACAACAAAGCATGTTCTTTCTGCGCCAACTCAGAAAGCTCAAACTGCCCAAGGAGCTGTTGATACAGTTCTACAGAGGAATTATTGAGTCTGTCATCTGCACTTCTATAACTGTCTGGTTTGGTTCTGCAACCCAACAAGATAGATACAAACTTCAGAGGGTAATTAGAACTGTAGAAAAAACAATTGCTACCAACCTGCCTTCCATTGAGGACCTGTATACTGCATGAGTCAAAAAGAGGGCTGTGAAAATATTTACAAACTCTTCGCATCCTGGACATAAATTGTTTCAATTCCTACCCTCAAAACAACTCTATAGAGCACTGTGCACCAGAACAACTAGACACAAGAACAGTTTTTTCCCAAACACCATCACTCTGCTAAACAAATAATTCCCTCAACACTGTCAAACTAGTTACTAAGTCTGCATTATTATTAATCTTCTCATCATTCCTATCACCCATCTCCTCCCACTTATGATTGTATGACTGTAACCTTGTTACTGGTATACTTACGATTTATATTGACTGTTTCCTAATATGATTTGATTGCTTATTTGTTCCCTATGACTATCATTAAGTGTTGTACCTTATGATTCTTGACGAATGTATCTTTTCTTTTATGTACACTGAGAGTGTATGCACCAAGACAAATTCCTTGTGTGTCCAATCAAACTTGGCCAATAAAGAATTCTATTCTATTCTGCCTTCTGCAATTGACTGATGGCAAATTTGTAAATGCCAATGATGTTCAAGTGCTACTGCAGTTGTTTTGGGATTGCACCCAAGATGCCTATTACTATTGATACTACCCTTGCTTGCCTTTGCCATAGTCGTTTTATTTCTGCTTGTAGGTCTTTGTATTTTGTTATCTTCTCCAGTTCTTTCTCTTTTATTCTGCTGTCTCCAGGCACTGCTACATCCACTATCCAGACATTTTTTGTCTTTCTTATCGACAGTTATTAAGTTTGTGAAGTTATATGACAGATGCCTATCTGTTTGAATTCTAAAGTCCCAGAGCAATTTAACTTCTTCATTTTCTATGACTTTCTCTATTTTATAGTCTCGCCAGTTCTTTCTTGCAGATCTTCCAACGCACCATTGTTGCTATTTTGTCATTCCGCTGCTTGTAGTCAGTCTGGGTGATCTTCTTGCAGCTGTTTACCAAGTAGTCCACCGTTTTCTCAGCTTTTTTGCATAGGTGTCACTTACTGCCCGTTGCTGTCTTCTCAATTCTGGCTTTGTGTGCATTTGTCCTTAAGGCTTGTGCAGCCAGAATTAGTCCCTCGGTCTCTTTCTTTAACTTTCCTGTTATTATTATCACTCAATGGGGGGATGATGATATTGATTGTTGTTATTATTGATTTATTATAGCCACCAAAGACTTTGTAGATAGAAGAGATAAGGTGTTGTCTAGAATGTATCTAAAAACAATTGGTCTGCAAAAGTACAAAAAAGAAATTCCTTAAGACTATCCAAAGAAAAATGATTTTCTCTCCCCTTACCCCCATTTCCAGCAACCCTTCTTGCTGTTTTCTACATTGTTTAACATGGTTCTGCCTTTTTGAGAATTACATACAGTTGCATTTTGTTTCAGTTTTTATTTTAAGATCTAATTGACCTTTTTACTTTGTTCTCAGGTATTTACTTTTAAAACAAGAACTTGCGCTGAGTGATAGTTCTTTAAAGACGTGCTCTTTCTAATCATTTATGCACAAGGAAACACTATGCTTAAAATGGTTCTCATTGAAACACGTTTTTGCGTGCTTCATCAAAGTAGAAGAAAACTGCTTTTTTTTTTTTTTTGGTGCAACTGCTATTTTATTTTTATTTTTTTTAATTTGATTTTTATTATAACATATAGTGATACATTCAGTACATTTTCGGTTCATTGGTGCAATTATATACATATATACATCTACATGCATTATTACTTATCTTTTATTTGATATTGTTTCTTAAAGCTAGATTTAATTTTAAAACACTTAAAGATAATAGTGCTCAAATCTCTAAGACTAAATGTAATACTATTCATATGGATTTTGTTAATTAATTAATATTTAATCTCTATTTCCTTCTTTATTTCTTTTCCCCATCCATTCGTACCACATGTCCCACACGCTATAAAATTCCGAATCTTCTCTGTCATTAATTTCTGAAGTCAATTTGTTCATTTCGGCGCACTCCAATATTTTTCCAAAAACATGTTCTTGAGGTGGTATTTGTTTTTCAAATAGCAACTGCTATTTTATATTGCAACTTCTGACCAGATAACTTGCACCATCTTGACTGACATGAGGAAAATTATACCAAACATGTATTGAAGGCATATTTTATGCATGTGCAGATTAATCAACCAGCAGCAGAATCTATAGATGGCCCTTAAATTATGATACAATTGGGACCAATATTTTCATGGCTAAGCTTGAATTTCATTGTGAATCACACAACATAAAATTTTATGACCTTTTTTTGCCATGGTTGTAAAGTGAATCACATGCACTTGTGATTCACACAAGTGAATCATGTGGTTGCTAAGTGAATCCAGCTTCTTCCAATGACTTTGCTTGTTAGAAGCCAGTTGGGAGGGTCGCAGATGGCAATCACATGACCTCAGGATGCTGCAACCGTCAAAAATACATGACAGGTGCCAAACATCTGAGTTTTGATCACATAATTCTCCCACGTAACACCTCTCCTGCGCGAGCTGCATTGGCTCCCGGTGGTCTTCCGGGTGCACTTTAAGGTGTTGGTTCTCATCTTTAAAGCGCTCCATGGCTTAGGGCCAGGGTATTTGCGAGACCGCCTGCTGCTACCAATAACCTCCCACCGGCCAATATGCTCTCACAGAGAGAGCCTCCTCAGGGTGCCGTCGGTCAGGCAATGTCGGCTGGCGGCCCCCAGGGGGAGAGTCTTCTCTGTGGGGGCACCCGCCCTGTGGAATGAGCTGCCTCCTGGAATACGATTGATCCCGGACCTCCAGACCTTCCGTAAAGCCCTGAAGACGTTTTTATTCCATCAAGCCGGCCTAGCCTAAATGGTTTTTAATTGGGATTTTAAATTTTATGGATTTGGGGGTTTTAAATTGGGAAGCTAGTGATTTAATTTTTTTTAATTATCTTAACTTTTGTATTTGTATGTTTTTTAATTTTGGCTGTTCACCGCCCTGAGTCCCTTCTGGGAGAAGGGCGGTATACAAATTAATAATAATAATAATAATAATAATAATAATAATAATAATAATAATAATAATAATAATAATAATTCTGCAATGATTATAAGTATGAAGACTGGTCGTAAGCCACTTTTTTCAGTGCCATTATAATTTCAAACAGTCACTAAATAAATAATTGTAAGTCACGGACTGTCCGTATTTAGAAGTAGAAATATGCCAAAGGTCTTACTTCAGCAAAGATACAAAGGTGTAGCCTTGTGCTTACGTATTTTACTAAATTATCTTTGGACAAGTGAATCAATGTAATAGTTAATGTTTTAAATGATATGCCGTAACAGAATCAAAATAAGAAACATGGTTCTTGTATAATAAATAAGATTTATTATTTAAATAATAAATAATAATGATGGCACATTATTGCGTGGTAGCACAGTGGTTAGAGTGCAGTACTGCAGGTTACTTCTGCTGACTGTCAGCTGCCTGCAATGTGGCAGTTTAAAACTCACCAGGCTCAAGGCTGACTCAGTCTTCCATCCTTCTGAGGTGGGTAAAATGAGGACCTAAAGTGTTGGGGGCAATATGCTGACTCAGTAAACCGCTTAGAGAGGGCTGTAAAGCATTGTGAAGCGGTATATAAGTCTAAGTGCTATTGCTAAGACTTCTCTCTCTCTCTCTCTCTCTCTCTCTCTCTCTCTCCCTCCCTCCCTCCCTCCCTCCCTCCCTCCCTCCTCCTTTCTTCTTCCTTCCACCAGGTATGTGCAGAGTTTGCTGGATATCATGGTGTTCCTTGACAAGGATCCAGAGGACCAAAGGATATTGGGACAGTGAGTTTAAATTTAGTGGCCTCATAAAATGTACACAAATGCATCATTAGAACCCTTAGTTTCAGTGTTGAGCTGAGAGAAACATTTCCAGTCTGGCATGTTACAGTGTGTCTTATTAATGAAAATCACAAATTACAGTCCAAATGACCCTCATTGGTTAGGAATTTGGGGAGCGAGGTGTAAGATACCTGAAAAATCTCAGACTGTTCAGGTAAATTGATCATGCCTGAATCATCCTTGGATTATTTCTGCAATAATTCTGAAGTCAAAGCATATCTTTTGGACCTAAACAGATGGAAAATTAGGTATATGTGGAATGTTGTTGTCTCATTCTAGGTTCACCAATGCTCTGGTCACAATTCGCAACCGTCACAATGATGTGGTCCCTACAATGGCACAGGGTGTAATTGAATATAGGGAAGCTTATGGTGATGACCCTGTTTCCAACCAAAACATCCAGTACTTCCTCGATCGCTTCTATCTTAGCCGTATTTCTATCCGCATGCTGCTCAACCAACACAGTGAGTTATCTTAAACCCCTCAGATCTGGTCCCCCCCCCTTTTTTTCCTTCTCCCTTCCTCTTGGTTTTAGTATTAAGAGATGAATTCTTAATTAGAGCTGTATCTTAATAGGAAGCCCCATCTCATGCTCCACCTGGCCTACTTTTGTCATATCGTGCTCCATCTCTCTTCATTTGCATCTTCTTTTTTTCACAGCCTTGATTTTTGATGGCAGCACCAATCCAGCCCATCCCAAGCACATTGGCAGCATTGATCCCCACTGCAACGTATCAGATGTAGTTACAGGTGAGTGTTCTTCCATGATTCCCGCCGCAGCATCTCCTTCCCCCTCTGGAATCCTTAAGAAATTGGTTTTGCTTCTTAGCTCCTCTCCAGTCTCATGAGAGCCACAAAAAAGGGGGCCACAAAAAAGAGAGCCACAAGAAAGGGTACCTGATGATTATATGTAGCTCTCTGACCAGGAGTTCCCTATTTTGGATAAATATGAGATGTGTGGTTTAGAAGAGTTGAAAAGGCAGTTGTCTAAATTCATAGAAGAAGCAGTGACTAGGTTTATATTTACATGTGAGTACTTTGGTTTGAAGTTAGTAGGCTGTGCAAAACCTAATTGTAGTTTGTTCAATAAATCATGATTAAACAAACCATAGTTTAGTATAATAGGTTACCCAGGCAATATCTAAGAAAATGGGCCCTCCATGTACAAAGGTTAACTGTTCAATAGCTTATTTTAATATCAGAGTAGTCAGTTTTGGAAACAGAAGTTGAAACAGACAGATTTGTGATGCAATTCCTTAGAGCTTATCTTACAGTGGAAACTTGGAGAAACCTGTATACAGGGTATAGAGTACCCTGTACTCTATACCCAAGGCAGACATGATTTTTACAGTTTTCCATGCAGCCACCAGAACTTTCTAATAGTTACTGCTAAACGGTAGTTTTTAAAGTACAATTTAAATACTAATTTAGGCCTTTTTTCACCTCTTTATCTTTTCCCTTGCTGTTTTTGGAAGTGCAAATCCCTGCTCAAAAAGGATTTCAAGCATCTATATCACACTAATATGCGAAGAATATAATATGGTTCTGTATTTGTGGAAGGACAGCCGATGAAGCTGGATTTCCTGTTATTGCATGGAGTTGGCACAAAAGGGAGAAGATCTTCTAATAGTCTTCTAACCCATTTAGGTTGTTCTTTCATAGCTTTGGTTGAATTACAGTAGGTGGTTCTTAAATAGAATTCAAAAGGAAATGTGGATTAAAAAGGGGGAGAAATGTAGAGCTCTGACAATTTGGAGGAGACAATGTATTCCTTCCCTGGCTTTTGCTGAAATTTATTTTAATTTGGTCCAAATTTGCATGAAAGTAATACAGAATTTTTAATCAGCTCATCAAGTAGATGCTCTTGCTGATCTTTTCCAATTTATGACAAAGCTGACAGGTGGTAGAATTCAAAGAAGAGAAGCTGTGTTTCCGTAATAACCAAAGTTTGGTGTTTCTTTCTTGCTGCAGATGCTTACGACATGGCCAAACTGTTATGTGACAAGTACTACTTGGCATCTCCTGACCTGGAGATCCAGGAGGTGAATGGTGAGTTTGCAGAGCCATGAAAAAAGTGGGAAAGTTAAGGAGAGGAGCAAATAAGCCAAGTGGGAGGGGGTAGAGGTTACTGTCCAAACTGGCTGCTCAGTGGCCTCTTATAATATAATCCGCACAGCGGGTTTTAGAGGGACTGCTAGCCTCCTCCATTTTCCCCCCTTCTATTTAGATAGTGGAACAGGACCTCACAAGTGGCATAGTAAGTAGTTGATGATCCTTTGATAAGCAGCCACCCTTAGAGTTATTGTCGTGGCTTGGCGACTAAAGCTTTGCTAGAATCCCGTTTTCCCTTCCTTTGGGCTTCTTTCTTTTTTTGCCTTGCCTTTTAAAACCGATGATAGTGACTGCCCTTTTAACAGCAAAACAGTGTGGACAATTCATTGATACCCCAAAACTGCAATAAGAGGAGATACAGGAGAACATAAAATGAGATTGGATTATTGCAGGTAATCTGTACCTTCCAGATCAGTGGTGGGTTGCTACCGGTTCACCCCGGTTTGGGCGAACCGGTAGCAGCAGCGGCGGGACGCTCCGCCCACCCGCCTGGATGCCATCAAATACACTCTGCGCATGCATTGAAGTGTGAATGAAGCAAGCGCACACATGCAAGAGAACCGAGAGCAAAGGTAAGTGAAACCCACTCCTTTTCCAGATGTGTGGAATCTCATCCAAGGCAGCATATCTTAAATAGCAACTATTGGAGAACAGCAGTGGAAGAGAGACCTCTGTCTTCTGTCTTCTGCCTGTGCTTGTGAACTTCCTGGCTGCAGCTGTCAGTCATTGCCTGACACAGAATGCTGGGCTGAATGGCTCCCTGGCTTAAACCAACAGGCATCTTTTTATATTACTTTAAGATGGTTCTTTGAGTGCCTAAAAATGCTGGGAATTATATTTGGAGACATCTGGTTGAGAAAGCACAATTATTTCTGGTTTTAATTAACAGATTCCACACGGGTAATAGTAAAATTCCAGCATTTCTTCCAAAATGTATGCATTCTAATTAGTGAAAGACAGAAAACTAGTTGAAAGCTGTGCATCATTACTCTTTACCTCTTAAGCTTGTACAACTTTGATCCTTGCTTGGTGCTTAATTATTACTACTTCGTTCTCAAATCAGTCGCTACCTCTTTCTTCTTTTTTACGGCAATAGATAAATGATATGGAAGCCATGTAATCCATCCTTCTCTAAGTCTACAGCAGTTCAGCTTCTGAAAGTGAAATTTATCAATAGCTTCAGTGATTTTTAAATAACTAAATGAAGCCTTCATGATCAGAGGTATCACGACCTTAGGTATCTGTGTCTGGAGCAACAGCACTGGATCAGGGTTCACTATTGTCTTCGTGACTTATCTGCATGTTGGCTTTCTGAATGTATCTTCTGAATTGTATAGCTTCAAGAGCAGGCTGTTGGGTTAGATAAGTCATTGACCTTTGTATAGATAAAAATCCCAATAACCCGCAATTGGTACTTGAAAAGAAAGAAAAATACAAATATACCCACATGCACACACCCACATGCAAACACATTGGCCTGAATGGGCCCCTGGTCTAAATCAGCAGATGTGTATATGTAAAGGTTTGGGTTTTTTCTATTTCACACCAACTGATTTGAAGAGTGTTTTGAACTGGGCTTCCATAGATATAGTTTTGTTTGGAAAATGATCCTGAAGAGAGACCAGATGGAGTAAATTTACTATATCTGAGCTGCGAAAATCCAGACAATCACTACACGTCAAGCATTAGATGTGTTATTGTTTTGTTGTCATCTAGTAGTTGTCCAGATTTTTGCACCTTGAATACGATAGCCTCAGTGTGGAATAATGTAAAGTCTGGGGACTTGGTAAATGTGATAAGTAAATATTCCTGATTTGGTGGCAAAGCATGTCAACTTTATGTTGAAATCATCCAAGGAAAGTTCTGAAGTAGCCTAATCATATCAGGAAACCAAATTGCAGTGTTGCGTATAGTATCTGAGACTAAATGACTTTGGAAAGATGATTGAAATAAATAAGCTAAAACTTTTCAGAAAGTTAGGTAAACCTGATAATTTTGACTTGACCAAAAGAAGTTTGAGAATTTACAATCCAACAAAAAGGGAAGTTCAAAAGCCTGGCAAGACAGAAGACCAATGAAGTAACTCTCCATCTTGTGAGATTTTCTGCACTTAGTTATATGGCTGAGGCATCTTTGCTTTAGCATGAAGATACCTTGGAGTACAGGTAGTCCTCAACTTACAACTGTTCATTTAGTGACCATTTGAAGTTCCAATGATACTGAAAAAAAGTGACTTATGACCATTTTTCTCACTTATGACCTTTATAGCATATTCATGATTACATGCTCAAAATTCAGATGCTTGGCAACTGACTTATATTTATGACAGTTGCAGTATCCAGGGGTCATGTGACCACCTTTTGGGACTTTCTGAAAGCCAGATTTGCTTAACAACTATGGGACTAACAACTGCGGTGATTTCACTTAACAACTGTGGCAAGAAAGGTTGTAAAATGAGGCAAAATTCACTTAACTGTCGCACTTAGCAACATACATTTTGGGCTTAATTGTGGTCGTAAGTTGAGGACTACTTGTAATAGGACCAGTCATGACCAGTGCATCTAGTCAGACTAATGTCATTATGAATTTCAAATTTATGTTGAAGAACCCCATTTTTGAAAAGTAATCTTCTATATTATTGCAGCAAGGAGCATGGGTGTTTTGCGTGTTCTGGAGTGGCAAAAAAGGAACAGAAACAGATATAAAACAGCATCTTAATTAACTTTGTTCTTCTTCTAGCGAATCAACCCAACCAACCTATCCACATGGTCTACGTTCCATCTCATTTGTACCACATGCTCTTTGAACTGTTCAAGGTAATTCTCTCTCTCTCGGAGTTGGATTCTGTTTCATAGAATGTTTTGGTGCTGTTATTCCAGCCAGAAACCAGGTCTATAATTTGTAATAATAACTTATTACAGGGGTGGTGTTAATACTGCTCCATTTAGTGTCAGGATATCTCAGATGCAACATTGGATCATCCTAGCACCTTAGAGAATTTCAGTCTTTACATTGAGATTGCCCAATAGGGAGTGACTCAGGAATTCAAGTACTCCAGGAAGATCATAGAGCTAGTTCAACTGAGTAGTAGACACTCAATGTATTTGGTTTTCTGTTCAGGTGAAAGTGGTGACATGAAGGTGAAGGAACCCTGTGGTTTTTTATGGATTAATCACACCCTCATTTGTTTTAGGCTAATGTAACTCCAGGCTATGAACATTAGGTTTTTTTTTTTAGAATTGTCACATATAATGGTCTATGTATATATCCACAAAATTCAATATTATACACACACATGCATGCATATAAAATGATACGTGTGCTGACCAAAGCAGAAAAGCTGGCTATAATATAGTCATTTATATAAGAATATAATACTTAAGCAAGAGGTTTTCTGCAGACATAGAAAATAAACCATTGTCTTTTGTTAGCCTCTGTAAGTCATATTTTGTATGTGGGCATTTGCAAATTCTGTCAGATGCTTCATGCTAGTAAGCCTGTGTTCCAGTAGCCACATAATAAATGCTTGGAAGGTTCCATCCATTACTCATAGAATATTGAGATGGGATAGGTAGTTAATTAAGACAAAGTCCTAATTATCCAAGCCAACATTCTGCTTCATCCATCATTCCTTCTAATGTTTGAAGTGATGATCTCTAGGAAAGCAAAACGTAGTATCCAGCATGGTCTCCTATTTTTCAGAAAAACAAAAAAAAAGAAATAGTAAGTGGAAGACTACCATAAAAACAGCTTACTGAGGATTGGGTGTACCCAATAGCACTAGAATGCAATTCAATTGTATTCATACTCAATTCTATTGTATTTATAATCAATTCTATTGAGCAATTATAACAACAACCAAAAACAAACAAACAAACCAGTGAAGTATAATGGGAAATTGCAAGAAATAGATATTAAGCATTAAGAGAGAATTCCTGATTGCAAGATTTATTTGATCATGAAGCAGAGGATAGCTTCGCACATAGCACTAAGCTATAACTAGAGCACAGTCTCAGTGTCTGGATCAGGCCAAAGACTATTGTAGAAGAGATTAGAATTTACTGGAGGTATTTAAGTAGAGGCTAGAAGGTTTTCTGAGCTGCTTGCCATATTTCCAGCCTGCATTGGCAAGCCTGCAAGGCCCTGTATATTCTTATTTCAAAGAATAAGTATATAGATGGCCTTGCTGGAACTGGGGATATTTATTTAAACCATTCTTATATATTTCTCTTTTTCTCCTGTTGTTTTGCAGAATGCCATGAGGGCCACTGTAGAAAGCCACGAGTCCAGCCCGACATTGCCACCCATCAAAGTAATGGTGGCTTTGGGCCAGGAGGATCTCTCCATCAGGGCAAGTGAACTGGTAGAAGAAGAAGAATATAAAATAGTGAAGATGCTAGGCAGAAGCTGCAGCTACTTGCGGTTTGCTAGGCAGTAAAATAATATCACTCTATTTCAAAGTTTTCTTACAATTTCTGGTTTCATATTCAAAGTCCCAAGTTTCTCAGAGAAGAAGGTTTTCCCACCATTCACATCCATTTCTCTCCAAAGTGAGAAAATGGATAGGAACAGAAAAATAGTTATTGACTCACGTTTTAATCCTGGTCATATTAAATAGCAAGACAGTTTAAGTGGAATCTGACCTGGGTTGAAATTATTTGTCTGTGAGCTGAGCTTTAGCTTTTTGTATGCATCCATAATGACTTGTGGCAGGAAAGACAGTTCACATTTACACCAGAAGAGGCAAGGTGACCTGGATGCAGTGGTTAGAAGTAACAGACTAAAATTATGCAAGTCCAGATAGAGATCTTTACCCATCCACAAATCCTGGGTGAGCCAATTTCTGTTTCTCAATATAACTTATATTACAGGATGATTGTGAGGGTAAAATAGGAGAAAGTATAATAAATGTTGCTTTTCCAACCCAGATATCCCTCTGAATGTGTCAGATTCCCCCTCAGAATTTCCCAAACGGCAAAGCCACTCCTAGATACTGAATGCGAGGAGTCTACCTGTTTGGAGGACACTCTGGTTGGAAAAAGCCATCCTAGAGAAAAACTGGAATATAAAAATAAAAAATAAACCCACCCAAACTGGATGGTATGTATATGGGAAGGAATGAATACTGTGGGCTTCTGTGACTGGCAGTTTGAATGATAAAAGGTATCAGCATAACTAGTTTGATAACAAGTTTTGGATCTGGGTCAGACCAGTCCTAAACTGCTACTCTGATCCTTACATTGGAGTCAGTCTTTATTCTAGTTCAGGGGTGTCGAACTGGTGGTCCACAGGCCAGCTGTGTCATACGCAGGCCATGCCCACCCCAGCTCCGTGAAGGGAAAAGGAGTCACGATACATCACGTGACAGCAATGTGACGCCGTGAGTTTGACACCCGTGTTCTAGTTTCTGTTAAAGCTCGTACTATCTCAGATTGTTCATGATAGCAAGATACTTTACTTAATTCAGTACTGTCAAAAAAAACAATAAAGGAGAAAATCAGTTTGGACAAATTTGCATAAATTAGATGTGGAAATGCAAACTTGTGGAAATAGTTATTATAATTTAAATAGGAATGCAGAACGCTTCATTGTAGAATAGAAGGGTGGGTCCAGATAGTCTGTTCGGTTGCTCAGTCTGGTGAAAGGCAAGTTCAGTTCTGGTTCTCCTTTTTCCTTTTGGTAGCTTATCTTTAATTGGATTTGTTAGTTACCTCTTTAAATATAAATGTGAAGTCTGACTAAAGTCAAATCCAACATCTGGAGACTTCATTGACTCATTAATGAGGTTTTTTTGGCAGCATTATCCAGTTGTTTGACATTGTATGTATGTGTCTGCGGGGGGTGGGGTGGGTAACCTTCATTTTTCAAAACTGCTTATGGCCAGCTAGGTACTGCCAGCTAATTGGTTTCTTTAATGAAAAGCCCCTCAAATAAAAATAAGGGGCAAGGCTTTCCTACCTCCATTCCCTCCCTGTAGAATTTCTGCCTCTCTCTCTTTTTTTACCTTTCTGTTGTGGAGCAGATGAGTGACCGAGGCGGTGGGGTTCCTCTTCGCAAGATTGATAGACTCTTCAGCTACTTATATTCCACAGCACCCAAACCAGAGCTGGGCACCGGAGGGACACCACTGGTATGTGTTACAAAGTTGGCCAAAGTTGGGAATACGAAGCCAATTAAAATTGCAACCAGTCTTTTGAATCTCTTGAGAGGGAAAGGTCAAGGCAGGTGGCTTCAAACAGCTTGTTTTTTAAAAATATAAATATCGCCTTAAAAATGTCTCCTTTGCCATGCTTATTCAGATAAAAAGTGAGGACTAGTAATATCTGGTTCACCAGTATTAAGAGCACTGCAGAAATGGGATAAGATATGACAAATCATCAAAGGGATAAAGTAGGGATCACTTTAAATGTTCTGATGTTAAAGCAGTAGAATTGTAAGGAAAGAAAGAAAATACTTATTTCTAATTAAATGCTGACAACAATATGTGGAGGAAAACCACAGTAAAATAAGACAGTAATTAAAATGCAACATTTCACTTATTTAACAGTTAAAACAATTTCTCAATATATTTTATTATAATGGATAAAATGCTGATTTTAGAACAGCCCATTTGAGGAAGGGGGAGCTGTTTTTTTATGATGAATTGTTCAGAACCTACTGCAATGTGAGGGAAAAGACTAGAAGTAGCTCCTTTTTGTCTTCTTGACAAAACTAACACCAAGGTTGGGGAACAATTTAAAACAGGAAAACGGCAGAAAAGAGAAGGATTAAGCATCCCCTTTCCCAGCACTATTGCTCAGATTAAATTTGGAATCCCCTGTCTCCCTTTATTTCTTTATATTTCTTTAAGTGTGTGTGTTTGGGGTGGTGAATCACATTCATCTTGGTTCCCGGTGTGCTTTGTGGCAATGAAGTTAGGGATACATAACAGGGCTCATAACGAGAGACTGCACAGAACAAAGCAGTATTTTTCAACTTCAGCAACTTTTAAGAGGCGTGGACTTCAATTCCCAGCGTTCCCCAGCCAGCTACAATCTTCTAAGATCTGGCTGGGGAATGCTGGTAGTTGAAGTCCACATCTCTTAAAGTTGCTGAGATTCAGAAGCACTGTTCCTGAAGTATTTATAGGTGGGCATGCTTAACAATGTGGTGTTATGTACTGTACAATGAGTAAACCATGTTTCTTTTCTTTCACAAACAAGGCCGGCTTTGGCTATGGACTGCCAATCTCGAGACTCTATGCCAAGTATTTCCAAGGTGATCTTCAGCTATTCTCCATGGAGGGATTTGGAACAGATGCTGTCATCTATTTGAAAGTAAGTTGGTGTCTTGCTTATTTCCTGCTCATATTCCCAGTCTGATGTGGACTAAATTAGCAAAATGTTTCTTTACGCATATATCAATAAATACAGATTATGCAATACAACTTTTCTGGATTTCCCCACAAAGATTAGGAATGTCCAGATCAACTTTATATTATTCAGTGGAGTGGGAATCGGAATAACTCACTCAGGCCAACAGTCTGAATTTTGTCTCCTGCTCATTCTGCCTCTCAATACTGTTGTGGCCTGCCAGCGGCCAGCAGAGCTGGCAGCAGATTCGGACAGTGAGGAGGTTGGGGAGGAATGTGGGCCAGTCCTGGAGTCTGGGGAAGGCTCAGACAAGGGCTCTAAGTCGGAGGCAGAGAGGGAGCCAAGGCCATCTGGTAGTTCTTTGCTGCCTACATCAGCGACGTAGAAGAACAGCGTGAGCCTGTTCCTAGTGTGCGCACGTGCAGAGTTGCCAGGAGACAGGAATAATTAAGGAAACAGGGTCAATTTGGGAGTAAGACTTGGAGATGATTGGCCCCTCCATAAGACATAAAAGAGAAGCGAATGGGACGTAAGCTTTTGCAGGAAGCAGTTAGTTCATCTGGCTGATTCAAGATTTGAAAATTCTGTTTGTGACTCTGTGCCAAGTTTGGCCTTGCCCTGCGTCTGGAAATTAGCTCTTTGGCAGCGATCCACATGAGATAGGTGGGTTTTGATAACCTCCCTCTGAAAGACCCTTTATCAAGCCTTGTAAATGAAAGTAATTTACAGCTGTATGAATTAAAGAGGTTTGCTGGGACTAAGTTTGTGCTGTTTAATTTCTAAGGAAGCCTAAGTCAGAACAATTCTTCAGGTCATTTGCCTTACATAAAAATGAAAGCAGACAACCTGCCGATGATACCAGGTGGATCACTGCATATGATTTTATCAAAAGTGCATCCTAATCTATGTTACATCCTTCTAGGCCTTGTCAACAGATTCTGTGGAAAGGCTTCCAGTGTACAACAAGTCAGCATGGCGTCACTATCAGACCATCCAGGAGGCAGATGACTGGTGTGTGCCCAGCACGGAGCCCAAGAACACATCCACCTATCGAGTCACCTAAGCAAGCCTCTCTGTTAACAGGAAGGGCACTTCCCTGCTTCCAAAGGGGAGAAACCAAACTTTGGTGAGGGGAGAAAAAGAAACAAATGATAATCACCAGCATAAATCTCACCTTGTGTTGTAAGACCTCTGTGGAGTGTTCCCCTTGGCTGCCTGGCCGCTTCACCTGTTAGACAGCATACTGATCTCTTTCTCAGATTTCTTTTCAGAAATGTGTAGTCTAGATCAACATAACTCTGCATGGAATTTCTTTGCCTCACCACAGTCCTGCCTTTTGATCTATTGGATGGGAAAGGCCTGAAGGATTTGCTTTTGTTCCTATTTAGTATTTGCACACATCACCTTTTTATTATGTTTGCGTTGTAATCACGAAGCTGAGACAACTTGACCACTAAACATTAATATGTTGAGAAAAATCAGGAAGCAAAAAGAGAAGGAAGAAGCTAACAAGCGTGGATGTGATTTTGTTGCATTTCTTCACATGAATCAAGATCCAAGCAAAAGGCACGAAGAGGTTTAAAATCTGACATAGGGACGGCAGAGTCCAGTGCCGAGTCCATTGCAAAGAGCCAAGGACATTAGAGGACACAGGCATGTTTCTTAGTATATTGCTCTGGAAGTAAGAAATATTCTCTGAGGGGTAGATATTTTTGCATTGTTTTCTGTGTGCTTTTCACGATACAGGTCTGAATCTCAGACAAGTTGAGGAAAGCAGAACAAGAGCCAGGAATTTTAGCCCTGGAAGATTCAGGTTTAGATTGCACTAGATATATTGAGACGTAAGGAAAATGCTTTGCTGGCATTGCAGGTGGTTTGGAGTTTTATGGTTTCCTGCTTGTTTGTCTCATCCACTGCTTGCACTTTTGCTCACCATGACTCAATTCCTAGACTGGCTTGTGGTGGAATATAGATCCTTAAGTCCTGCTTATATTGGAGGAGTTCCTCCTCTCCATGGGAAAAGTATTAGGGCACAATTGGGGAGTGGGTGGGGTGGCTTATGGGAGAAAATTGATGGCAGAAGAAATGCCCAAGAAAGAGTCTGTTGGTCTCCGTCAGGTGAATGAACTGGGAACACTGAAAGCTTCAATCCTGTCCTCCAACTGCAATAGAAAAAAATGTAGTATATTTATTTTAAGGACATATTTCTGGTTCATATGCCTCCAGTGCTTAGAAACCATGGGCAAAAGGAGCTACCCCCCCCCCCAAAGAATCTCAGAGGCTATCAATTATGGATTCCAGGCAGAAGCTCTCTCTTCCCTTCCCTCTTTTATAGCACCCCCATCCCCACCCCCTGCCATGGCAGCTGTTCGCTTTCCAGCAGCTCTTTGCTATGATCTCACTTTTCTGGTCCCCATTTCAAAACAAATGGAAATGTTTTTGTAGGCGGAAAATTGCTTCTGCCTTCTATTTTTATCCTGTGCTATTGTTCTAAGCAGATGTTATGCTTAAGGGGTCTGCCCAGATCCCCCTGAGTTGCACTCGCCTGTTTATCATTTTTACACAGTAATAAACCACCCTTCTGCCACTGCCCCATCCTCTGTGCTAGGCGCTTTGACCAGAAAGGGTCTGTGTTCATATGCTTAAATATACTTTTAATTCTTTGGGAGGAACAAGGCATGTGCCAAGGTCCCATTGCTGCTATAGTATTACAATATCAATTTTCTTGATCAGCTAAGAAAACAAAACAAAAAGAATCATTAAATTTAAATATGATCTGCCCGGTTGTATAACTTGATTTCATTGGCATCAGTGGTGGTACATGGTAGTACAACAACATGCATTCTACTTGTGTGCTTGAAACTCACCTTTGAGGTTGCTCCTGAATATGTCTCTTGATTCACAACATCTTGTCTTCAAATGCTCAGAATGCAGCTGTCCTCCTATTGCTGGTTTCTGAGAGGAGTAGGAGAGATGTTTATTACTCAAACATGTTATGATGACACCTAATGGAGATATATGTGAATCACATAAAAATGGGTAAGAGTTGGTCTTGAGCTGTTTCTTTGTAGTCTTTCATCAATGGGCATGGGGGCTGGGAAGAATTGTAATTATGGAGGACCACGTGTCACAAAGCTTTGTAATTAGAAGAGGAAAGAGTAATTTTGCCCATATAAAATTGATTTGTCTTTTTTCCTCCTCCTAATTTAAGTGATCAAAGATAAATGGTTGCAAAATCCTCCGGGGAAAACTTCTAGATATGGGCATCTGGGGTGACTGTGCACGAGGAGGGCAAATGACAATCTGTGTATCACGATGTTGCAATGCAAATGAAATTATTTTTTGTACTTAGATCACAACCTCATATGCAGATACTAAGGGGCAGGGTTTATCTTGTGTTATCTAATTTGGTAACAAAATATCTGCAAGAAAACAACCAAGCTCAGAGAGCAGCAATGATCCCACAGTTCAGCCCTGAGCTACAAATACTCTATCGGTTACATTACTCACTTCCTCCAAAGGCTCCATAGCTCTTTGAGAAATAACTCCTCCCTCACTATTCAAGAATAAGAGGGCAAATTTAGCCAAGTAACCCATGTAGACTTGTCCCTTTCTTTTTAAATTCTTCTGTTCAATAATGTCCGATTCTTGGGGACTGCCTACAGTTTACTTGGTAAATGTTTCAGAACTAATTTGCCATTGCCTCCTTTCTAGGGCTGAATGAAAGTGATTGGCACAAGGTCAGCCAGCTGGCTTTGTGTTCAAGATAGGGCTAGACCCATGGTCTCCCAGTTTCTAGCCTTAATCACTTCACTTCACTGTCAGTTTATGAGAGATCAAAGTCATTAGTAGAATGTGTTTTTATAAGTTTATATTACGTTAAATTTGAATTATTAGGCAGACAGTTCACAGCAAGATTTTTTTTCTGGGTGAAATAGGCTTTTTCAGGAGGGTGGCTATGAGGAGATAACCGTTTTTATTTTGTAAAACCATGTTAACCCTCCCTTAAGGTTGTAGTACAATTTTTCTCAGCTTGAAATTACAAACTGGGCCACTGTTTTTTAGCACTTACTAATTGGGGGAGCCTCTGAGTATTTTTTAAAAAATATATTTTCAGACACTATGTAGTCCTGTGGCCCCAGGTTGTCCACTCTTGTGGGAAGGAAGTGGCATAATAAAATATTACAAGGAACATTTGGTGCAAGGCCTATTTTAGGGAGAATCACCATTGTTATTTGCTTTGTCAACTTGACCAACAGAAAAGCAGCATATTCCCTTGAAGAAACACAAGAAGGACTCTCAGGCCTGCTAGCCAAAATTGCAGAGCTTTTTTTCTTCTGTAGACAGAGGCGCCCTAAGGAATATTTCCCACCAGCAGAGCACTGACCTAAGCAGTTAAATATTGCTTCCTTTTTCTTCTCAATTTGGAACAAGGTCACCCCACCTTGCTCCATTTTTTTGGAGCACCTGCAAATTGATGCAATGTTTCCTTAACTTGAGGAGCATCCTTGAGGAAGCATCCTCCCTCTGTTTCTTTTTCAAGTCCATATGTTTTGCAAAATGTCTTGAGACATTGTGTGCCCAGGGAGAAGTACACAGCATGGTCAGTGCCAAGATTCCCATGCTGGATACCAGTACAGTAGTAGCTGCATCCGCAACTCTGCTTTTGATTAGTGGTTATTGTTATTCTGTAAGCTTTGAGTCTGGTTCTCTTCCAAAGTTTGGGGGCATTTTTAAAAAAGACATCCAGTGCCTGCCAATCTGTGCGTAGAAAGTCATGCTTAAGGGTGGAAGCTGACAAGGTGATGCTGCTCTATTATTTACATAGGGCTAATTTTGAAACAACGGCTCACCTTATGATGGCCTTTCTCTAGAATGTGCTTTGCTCTGATTTTTTTTTTAAAGATTTTATCTACATCAATTCCCATAAATAAAGGATTCTTAGATGTTACAGTCTAAACAAGTGGCATTTCCAATTACACAAAGACTGCTTATGGAGAAATGGCCAACTTCACGATGTTTAGGACTTCAGTCAGGGATTACTAATGCATGTGTGGGGGAGAAAGTGGTTGCCTTTTTAAAATTGCATATATTAAGTATTTTATACATAAATTACAGAGCTGTTTGACATTTCAAGTTCTGAAGATGAAGCAGGCTAGATTTAGCCAACAGTCTCTGCTGCGTAGTTAGTCATTACATAGATTCACAGACAATAGGAGAATATTCTTTATAAATATGCAAGGGTACATATGGCAATAGAGTTAGAGCAAAGTAGAAATTAAAAAGAAAATCTTTTATGCAGTATGCATAAGCACATAGTGGCTTCATTGCAATATCTGTTTCTTCACCCTGCTTTGCATAAACATTTAGCAGCGAAGGAAGTAAAATGTTGGGCCGAGATGGGAAGAGAAAATTAATAAAAACATTTTATGCCGTCATTGATTTCTTGATGATAAAATGTGGCCCATTTCCAAGTCTGTATATTCCCTCCAAATATCTTGGCTCTTTTGACAAGACCCTTTCAACTTTGGTCAGAGCACAGATCTAGCAGTTTAGACAAGTCAGGACAGATTTTTATTCTGTTTTTACTATCCCCACTTAGAAACATCTGCAAAGAATTGCTTCATATTTGTCATTGTAGAGTTATGTTAGCTGACAAATGGTGGTAAAGCAGGAGTTACACCCAAGGAAAAGTGGGATAGAGGTGATCAAAACCTTTTGGCTTTTTGGCTCTTATCAGTGTAAGCACTGTGACAGAGAGGTGCTGTTTTCCAATAGGACTACCATCAATTCAGAATGACGCTACAGTTCCCAAACTGCAATAGATATCTGGGTGATGAATCTATGGGGGGGAAGTTCTCTTTAACTTGGACTATGGAATGCAGGGTCCTGGCAGGAAAGACTTGAGTTTGGACAAACAGGTTTCTGTCTAATTGCCCAAAGCACTGAGAGCTTTAAGAAGTTTGAGAGAGTAGTCTGAAGGACAGGTTAAATCCATAAACAACAAAACAAAACAAGAATAATGAAGCCTGTGATTGTGGGTTGCAGGTTTCTTTGAATCCATTGAGGGCTCTTTGACTAGAAAACTGACCCAGAGAAAAGTCAACTCCAAGAAGAAAATGGAATGTCCTCTTAATGAACACAAATTCATAAGTCTCAGTTGATCTTTCTTTCTTTCTCCAGGGAGCAACACCTAAACGAATATGAGGTGGACGTGTCTTCCACAGTTGCAAATTTTAGTTTTGAGTTTTGCTGTACCGATATTTCTACAGAAACTCGTGGCCTAGATAGGTGAACGTCTCAATTCACTTTTGAAAAACTTACCTTGGGAGAACCTTTCCAGTAAGAATGGAGCTGTGTTTTCTCCATTGCTAACTGGGAACAAGCCAGCTCTTTCTAGAGATTTGGATTCAACCCTCAATGTGGGCTCAGCGGTCTCTACACATTCCTGGCCTTTTGGGGGATGTTTATAGACTTCTGTGAACTAGTGGAATGTAATTCAAAACTGTGACGGCATAACACAGTTGTGAGAGAAATTCAAAGGTTGACTATATTGAGGAGCAGATCTCTGCTACAACTGGGCCTGTTTGCCTTTCTTGGAACGAGTGGCACTTTACAGAGTTTAAAGCATCCATTTTGAGCTGTAAACCCTCCCCAAGTGAAAAAGATGAGTCTAAACCAGGGGTCAGCAACCTGTGGCTCTGGAGCCGCATGCGGCTCTTTGGGCCCTTGCTGTGGCTCCATCAGGTGATCCCAACACTGGCTGGCCCCACCCTTTGCCCTCCCCTCCCAGTCACTCCTCAGTTGGCTTGAGAGGATAAGGGCGACAGTGTGGGATGGAGAAGTGGCCAGGGCAGATGCAGAGAGGGGGAGGGAGGGAGGGGAGAGAGATGTTAAAAGATTTTGTGGTTCCTGGTGTCTTAACAACTGGTTCTCTGCCCTAATGACTGGCTGAGTAAGCGTGGCTGGGGGGGGGGTGTCATGTGACTGGTGGAAGTGAGTGACATCGAGTTGGCCACGCCCACCCAGGTTTTGTGGCTACCAGTGTTTTCTGTGGGAAATGGGTCCAAATGGCTCTTTGAGTATTTAAGGTTGCAGACCCCTGGTCTAAATATTGCTGTTCTGCTCCTTCCAGAGGAACTCGGGAGCTTCAAATATGGGCTGAGTTGTCCATGCAATTTAAGAGAACCAGAGAGGCAAAGTACATTTCCCCTGAGACACCTACATTCTCTTAATAGAACGCAGTTTGTTTTTCATCAGCAATATCACAGAAAGGTTTAGAAAGCACCTCCAGTCTCACAAGGTTACTGCACATTCAGCAAAGTGTGTGTGTGTGCATTGTGTCTCACTGCAGGGTGGGCTGCAGGTTGCAGACATGCTCAGATCGCCCTGTCTGCAGATATGATGTGCCAAATGGATAAAACAAACCTAAATTCTCGGAAGGCAACTGAGAACAGACCTTTCAGTGGAGTATATGCAGTTATGTAGTTTTAATTCCCCTTCATTCTGACTTCGCATTTCATGGTAAATATGAACTAATATTCTGAAGTAAGATGCAAAACCTTCTGAGGGTAATATGCCCTCTGCTTGCCCTTTCTCTCGAGTGAGGAAAAGCATTTTATCCATTGCTTCCTTTATCCCATATGCCCAGCTTCCTTCCTTCCCCTCTCTCCCGCAAAAAAAAACTCCAAGAAGAAAATAGAATGTCCTCATAATGAGGCAAAGAAATACAGTAATGAGAAAAAGATGTTATTCTTGAAGTGTCGGATTATGTCTCTCCTTTTGAAACAGCTTTAAAGCAGTACTGCCTGCACGAGACTGTTAGGCAGTAATGGGGAGAAGGGGAGATCCTCCACTTAACTGTGCAATAACTTTGATGCTAAAAACCAGCCGACAATGCAAAATTTCTTTTATTCCACTGTGGTTCTTTGCTGTATATTGCCAGGCATCTAAAGCTCCTCCACCCCTCTATACAGTTTGGTCTCTTACTTAAGCAGTGAGCAACTACCCATTCACTCCCAGCAATATTATTCTGTAGGCATTTGCAAAGAATGGGCAAAGAGTGCTTTGCCCTCCTGATGCAGAGGAAGAGGAGAACCTAAAAGAAACTCTTATGCAATTGTCTCAACCTTGGTGTTTTGAGAGTGTTTGTGTATGTGTGTGCATGCATGTCTGTGTGTCTCTCGTTTGTGTTTTGCAAGGCAGCTGTGTTCCCCTGGTAATGGCAGGAGGGTGTGATGGGACACTTAACTGACACAGAGTGTGAACCCATCAAAGCCTTTGAGGTGAGCAATTTTGTGTAGAGGAATAAGATCAATAGGGAAATATAGAGATATAGCCGTGTCAACTGAAGGTATTACACAGAGCAGGGGCTGGGGAGATAGCATTATCACCCACCTCCATGTTGCACCACTGGCAGAGGGAGTCTTGCTGACCCCCTGAAAGTGCAGTTGGATTGTCCTGGCATAGTAGAGGAGACACTATTTGCATCAACTTTGTCTTCTCTGTCCCTTGTGGCCAATCCACCATTAGTGGTGTGCCAAGCTCCTACTGCTGGTGTCACCATTATATAGTCCCAGAGCAAGTTCAGCTTCACCCTATGTCCCACCCAAGCCCATAACCTTTGGTAGGACCATGCTTGCATCTTGCCCTCCATTTTCCTGGATGCTGATGTCCATCCCCTTCATTCCAGAGATGTTCCATAGGAATGGGTCTAAGGGGAAAATGGGTCTAAGCCTATGCTGAGAAATGGTAATTCCCCCCTTCCCCTCTTTGCTTAACTCTTCCTCTGTTCCTGTTCTTTCTTTTTCTGTTTTTCTTTCTGTTTCTCCATCTTTTCCTGGGCTTTCTTCTCTTTCTCGACTGCTGCATTCAGCTCCTTCACCTTTCTCTTTAAAAGAGACCGATCGTGAGAATTGCTGACACCAAGTGCCTGTGGAGATGGAGGAAGGATATAGCTGTAAAATCAAGACACGCATGGGAACCCAGTGCATATTCTTCTGGTCCCTTAAATTACTGTGGTTTCTAATGAGAAAAAAATAATAATCCATACTTCAGCAGCAAAAGGATTGATTTGGAGACTGCCTCTTCCACTTTCGCGTATTGCGCTCCTGTACTAATACTGTGGATACTTTGTGCTCTTGACTAAGTCACAATGGCTGGCTTGATATATAATTTTATTAGGCTTCAAATACTACCAACTACTGCGGTGTCTTCATAGTTTTAACCACAGCAAGATAAAACCATAAAACCAAATCCAAAGCTAAAGATGGTAACTTTTAAAAAAAAGAATAAAAATTCGCCAGTAATTTTATTGTCCAAAAAGATTATTTTGAAAGTCTTTTAAAAACAGATACATTAGGTTCCTCCACTCCACATGGATTGCATTCCAAAGAACCAGGGAAGCCACATAAAGGGCTCAGTTTGAAATGACTGAAAGGCAGCCTACAGAAATCCGAAGCATTTCTTTGGTGCTCAGTAAGCAGATATCATTTGCCTCTCAAATGTATGCATGAGACTAGTCAAAAGGAATACAAACCATATATCGCTGTGTATGAACCCAGCCATTCTATCTCTCCTTCTTCCCATCTCCTCCTTACAACCAGACAGAAGTATAGGTAGTCTTTGACTTACAACAGTTCATTTAGTGACCGTTCAAAGCACTGAAAAAAAAAGTGACTTATTACAGCATCCCCACGGTCATGTGAACAAAATTTAGATGTTTGGCAACTGACACAAATTTATGACAGTTGCCATGTCATGGGGTCATGCAATCATCTTTGGTGACTTTCTGACAAGCAAAGTCAATGGGGAAAACAGATTTACTTAACAATCATATTACTAACGTAACAACCACAGTGATTCACTTAACAACTGTGGCAAGAAAGATTGAAAAATGGGGCAAAACTCAGTTAACAACTGCCTTATCTAGCAATAGAAATTTTGGGCACAATTGTCGTAAGTCGGAGACTACCTATAATCACGCATCTTTCAAGATCATGTGATTCTTTGCACTTTACCTTGACACTAAATGGTCAATTCTAAGCTGGTCAATTATTGGATCTTTCCTATGACTGAAAATGTGAACTTCTACTCTACTTCCCTTGTCTGGATTATGTTGACTGGACTATAACTCAGTAGTAGAAGTAGGTTCCATCCTTTATATATCTTCACATAAAATCACCATTTGTCAACCTGACGTGCTGGCCCAACCTATCTGAAAAATATAAGGAAGCCTGGCTTAAAGTGATGCGATTGGAGTAAAACTTCAATATTTGTTGATGAAATGGACAAACCTATACTATATGGATAAAGAATCTGACCTGATATATAATGCTATATTCCTATGATTCCTTGCACTTCAAATATGACTTGGATGTTTAAATGATCCAGATCTTTTTCTAAAAATTTGTCAACTTGGAATCCATTTGGAAAAAAGTGCTTGAAACATTTGCTAGTAGAAATGCCTACATTTAAGATCTGTGCTTACATACATACTAGAACATGACTTGTTCTATCAATGCTAAATTTATACTTGTAGGACCAAAAATATGGACTAGACAATCTTTTTTTTTTTTTTGCCAAACAGTATTTCATCTCCATAAACTGATCAAAAACCCATTTTCAGATAATCATCTTCTCCACTACCTTCAATTTGGCCCCATCAAGGAGCAGCAACTGTTGTCCATCCACATCTTGAGCAGCAAATTCTGCCATGTACTGTTCCAGGTTCAAACTCTCGAGCCACTGGCCCACTTTCTGGCTGCTCCACATTGAAGCTGCACTCAGAGGCTCATCCAGAAACTTCAGGGAAGATTGTTTAGGGTGGGAGAGTAAAGGGGGAGAAAGAAGAGGGAATCTGATATTGCCCATAGTTCTTATATTCTATATGTAAAGTTTAAACTTCCTGGCACCACATCTAGTCAGCCATCTGGGGGAAGGCCTGTCCATAAACTTTAACTCCTTTTAAAACTCAATTGGAAAAATACTTATTCGCTTTCTCTATAATCACAAGGACCCATAGCAAACTACAATTATATCAAAAGGATGTCGGAATACAAGTGCTAAACATCTTGATGCAAATCCCTCCCTTGCGTACTTAGATTCTGGTATCTTTTATCACGACATATGGTTCATCACTTGTCAATCAAAACCACCTAGGGATGCCTCCGTCTACACTTCAAGATGTTTGAATGGAAGAATGTGGTAGAAATTATGTTATTTTTGTTGTTGCTGATGTAATCATGGCAGCTACTTTCATTCTTTCTTTTTCAGTAATGCATTAATATGCCACACTTTAGATAGTGCTCATTATCAATAGTTTCACATCTCCAGAATCAATAAAACCCCAAACCTGCAAAAAGGTATTTTTGTATCCACAATTATGCTTTTCTTTCATGTTTTTTTTTTTTGCATGCTTGAAATGATGAATGGGGTTCTGTATAAGCTTCAAGTACATTCTTCCTTTCGTTTTATATTTTTTTTAATTCAAGTTTTAATAAGTAACAAAAATGCAAATTAATGAAAAGTAAAAGCAGAAAACAGAAAAAGAAAGAAGATAAAAGTGCATAAAAGAAGAATAAAAGACATAAAAGAATAAATATAAACAAGTAGCTTCCGATTTCCTTTGCAGAAAATATAAGCAGAATTAGAAAGTTACCATTTACAATTACAAAAGAAAGCTCACTCTCTGCAATTAACCAGGTTTTTTTCCCCTAATCGTAAAACTTCCAAGTACATTACTAAAAGAGAGATTATTTGTGTAATGCATTTGCTGCTCAGTGGGTTGCAGCAGTCCTTGAAGGCTCTAGAAATATGCAGCACACATCCTTCATCACCCATGGACTGCAAAGGGATAAGGTCTCTTTGTTTTTTTTAACATCATGCAGATTACAAGCACACTAGTTGCATCAGTTGGATAGCTCTCCCTGTGGGGTGCAGAGAATAACCATAGGGTATGACCCAATTCCTGTAAATTCAGCTTCTCATTATTCACAGTTTTATTACCATTTTATGCTGGGATGGAGCCCAATTAAATAATGTAGCTTTTTATAATCCAAGTGATATTAAACATCGAGGCATTTGTTTTTCACACACTATTATGTTATGACTTATTCACTTGTTTCAACTGGGACAGCAACTTGAATGGCTGACTCATGGTGGGATGAATTCAGTGCTCCAAAGCAATGCACTATAAGAATAAATATCTAGTCCCTATGAATCAGGAAGGTTCCATGGGCAAATTAGGAATTGCAGCATTATTCTGCAGGGTTTGAGAACCAGGAGGACTTAAATAAATAACTATTGTTATTGTATGAATATACACAGAATACCTATACAATGAAATTCACTTAACACCCAAAGACCAGGTCCAACACACATAATCCCCAAACACACTCCCACCCACCACAATTCTCCACCCCTAAACCACCCAAACATCCACACAACAGACCAAGTAATACTGTCCAACAGTGGCCCTTTAGTTGATTGTTGAGTGCAATTATAGCTCTGGGATAAGAGCTTACCTCATCAGATGACTGTGACAGTGTATGGTATGGATAGGAACACTTGGTCTCTGGTAGAGCCACGCTCAGGGTCTTAGGGCTGCTGCTGGGAGGGGTGGAGTCATCACTTAGGGTGGATTCCTGGCAAAGAAGGCAGAATTAGAGAAGCTGAGAGCAGAATCAACAACCTTCTTAAGCGGAGACAGAGGATGTGGATGACAAAATTGTCAAGAAAAACAAACATTTTGTACAGGGTAGTTCTCGACTTACAACAGTTCATTTAGTGACCATTCGAAGTTACAATGGCACTGAAAAAGTGACACGACTGTTTTTCACACTTGCAGCAGCCCTGTGGTCGCATGACCAAAATTCGGATGCTCCGCAATTGACACATATTTATGACGGTTGCAGTGTCCCGAGGTCATGTGATCACCTTTTGCGACTTTCTAACAAGCAAAGTCAATGGGGAAGCCAGATTCACTTAACAACCATGTTACTAACTTAAGAACTGCAGTGACTCACTGTAGCAAGAAAGATCATAAAATGGAGCAAAATTCACTTGACAAATGTTTCACTTACCAACTTACCCAAATTCTGGGCTCAATTGTCATAAGTCGAGGACTACCTGTTATTCTGGGAACATTATCCAAGTCAACCCTTCAGTTTTTAATGTCCGAGGAAAAACTTCCCTTAGGCCAGAAGCATAGAGCTGCCCTGTCTAATCACTTTCCACTTAAAAAGCAAAGGTTTCAAAACATTTTAATTAAAAGACCCACTCCTTCCCTCCCTGTTCCCATCCAGTACTGTTATCGCACAGCCTCATTGCATTAGCTCTAAGGCAGGATCCACATAAGATAAAACAAAACACAGCTGCTGTGTTCATGTGACATGATGTGGCCCAAGAATTAAAATGTCTCATGGCTTAATATGAAGCCCTGATTTGCACAATACGCTAAGACAATACCTTGGTTCCCACAACATGCTGGACTTATCCAACCCCATTTTAGCCTAGTCTGGCAGTTAGTCCTTATGAGGTTTCCAGCTCTCCCCCGTAATACATGGTTTTGAAACCTGGGAGGCAGATTTCTTGCGGCTGAAGGCCTCGTTCTTGGGGGAAGAGGTAGGAGAAGCTGTGCTGCCTGAAGAGGCTGAGCCTTTCCCGCTGTCTGTAAACCAGGAAAAAGGCATGAAGGGCGATCCCGAGGAACGGCTGGAACCCTCCATCAACTCCCTGTACAAGTCAGACAGGTAACAAGGAAAAGGGCCTCATTAAGTTTTCTATTCTTTTTTTTCTTGAGAGGTGAATTTTACATGCATCATTCCTTAAGGGAAGTTGTGAGCGGAAATGTGCAAAATGTACCATTCCAGAGATGGAATGTTCTGGGTAACGCCAGAACGTTCCATGTTTCTTCCAGAACGCATTGATCCAATTCTTCTGGAGTCTGTTTTACTTTTTGAGAAGTAAATCTGGTGACTGATCTTTTTAGAAAAATAATGTGGGGACTGCATCACAATCTTTTTTTTCCCTCCTCCTCCAGAAAATTTTCTTCTGAAAAACAATGAGTACGCCTCCAGAATGTCTATGGTTTGGAAGAAAATCTGGAATATTCTGTCCCTAAAATGATAAATTTTACACATCCATTATTGTGAGTCAGCCAAGCCATGATGAGAAATAAACAGAGCTCGTTTCACAAAAGTGGCAAGATGATGCCAAGATTTTGATATTAGTATAGAGGGAAGCCCATCACCCTAATATTAACAAATATAGCATTAATTTTTAGTCATTGTGACTGTGCAACTGTCATACTCCAAATAAAGAACAGGGCTATTCGCAACCATCAATTGTTCTACAATCTTTAATGTACAAATTCCAGGGAGAAATTCTGGATGGGGAAACTGCCCTGTTAAAATGGTTGAACAAAGAAGCACAACTGTACATTTAAAAAAAAATAACTTTTTGGGAGCCATCTGCATAATTCCTTGATAGGAGTTTGTCTTCCAGGTTATTTTCAGGGCTATACAAGAATTTAAGTGAGAGGAGCTTTGGGAAATCCTAACTACTTACCTATTGCCAACGGAGAGGCGGTTGCCTCCCTTCTCTTTTCTGCTTTTCCCAGAAGATGCTCTCCTGAGGGTGACCCTGCAAGAGAGAAGCAACACGATTACAAGCACAGAAAATTATTTGTATAGTCCCGTGACATCTCACACACAGTGACACAAGTAGAAATTACAATGCGGAAAACTCAAAGAAAATGATTTGGCCCGTAAACATTGTTTTTCTTACCAAGTCTCTAGGACTCACCCTAAATCCAGAAACTTCCGGCGTGTTTTCTTGTCAAGCCCAATTGTGGGGCTTTCCAGTTCTGGAGGACTAGCATCTCTGCTGTCATCTGGGAAAGAGGCAAGGGAGTCTGTGGCTTATTTCAGAAATGACCAACCTAATGGAAAACTTAAGCTAATTGACATTGAAATTCTGCTTTTTATTCCAAGCTATTCTATTAAGAAGAGGTGTTTTGTGTGCGCTAGGGGTACGTCTTCAATTACTCTGGAATTTGGAATTTTAAAAGGGTTCTGAACCTAAGTTCTGAATGAATTTATAGCTCAAAAATAAGTCCCATGAGATGCTCATGCATAAAATTATTCTGCCTATTGGAGAGAATTTGAATTAAGTGCTTGTTCTGGTCTTGCAAATGTTAAAGAAATCATTGTTGCATAACACTTAAACACAGCAAAAAATACAAACAGGCACACACGCACACATGCATACACAGGTGATTCAGACTGGGTTTACACAGAGCGCCAAACCAAAAGTTTGTATACTCCTGCTTTATTGAATAAGCCACAATTAACCATATTGTGCTAAAACATCACCTGTGTTTTACTCTGAAGAATGACTATGTTCACTCAGAACTGTTGGTTAAATTCATTACACAGTATGCATACTCAGTTTCAGGACTGATGAAACATATAGTTCCTCAAAAGCCCATTGAGAAAACTTTTTTTCCCTCTCCTCTACTTGTGAAACTGCCATTCACAGCTGGGCATTCTGTAATTGGCATCTCCCATTTGACCCTTGGAGCCGATCAAGATAAGTGATGATTGCCTGATAGGCTCAGTCACTGATTTTATACCATCCTCATCCTCGTTAGAGAACATTATACAAATAGAATAAATAAATAATAAAAATAAAAGTTATAACTGAAAACAATCCAGAGTTTTTAGGAGAGGGGAGCGATAAAATAAAATTGTGGGAAAGAGTTGGAAGGGAGGCTTTAAAGAGTTAAATGTAGCATTCTAAAAAAAAAAAAAAAAATTATATGGGACAACTTCAAGAGTCCCAGGTTGCCTAGACAATAATATTTTAACAATATCAGAGCAGGTAAATTCAAATATATATTTGTCCCTTTTTAACCTGGAGAAGATTTTGCTCTTGTGAAAAGAATGGATGTAATTAGAGGAATCAGTTATTTTTAAGGGATGAAATACAAAACTTAAAGGCATTTACTTTGCCCCTAAAATCTCCCATACAGTGAGATATGTTCCTCCACCAGTTAGGATCTGGAGCCACAATTAAAACACCAAATGCCTATATGTTAACTGTTTATTTACTAACTATAATTGTATACAGACCAGAGGTGGGGTTCAGCAGGTTCTGAACAGTTCTGCAGAACTGGTCAGAACCTGTAGCGAAAATTTTGAGTAATTCAGAGAACCAGTGGTAAAAATTCTGACTGGCCCCGCCCCCATCTATTCTCTGCCTCCCAAATCCCAGCTGATCGAGAAGAAATTGGGATTTTACAGTAACCTTCTCATGGAGTGCGGAGGAAATGGAGATTGTACAGTATCCTTCCCTTGCCACACCCAAGCCATGCCCATCAAGCCATGCCACGCCCACCAAGCCAGACCCACAAAACTGGTAGTAAAAAATTTTGAAACCCACCACTGATACAGACATAATAAAGCTTTAGCAGCCAGTTTACTGTTAAAACATACAATAAAATCCAGAAGATAATTTTAACGAATAAGCCGATAATCAATAAAAACATAAAGTTTCCTTGACATCAACAGGAAAGGCCATTCAGCATCTTGGGAAAAGATTTCAGGAGAGAAGCCCCTGAATATAGGCTGAAAATGGCTTTGCTGTGGTCTGTTTCCACAAGGGAGGCCAGCATGTTTCAGGATTTCCCTACATTTGGAGAGAGGAATTCCAGATACTTTTATTGTTTTTTTAAAAAAAACATTAACAAACATAAACATTAACTGGTGCTAGAACTTACTCAAGTATTTTTAAGTGATCGAGACAGATGATTTGAGAATCTCAGCATTATCAGGGTAAGCTGAGTAAACTATATGGAAAGGAGAAAAATTATCTTCTAATAACAGTACTAAGAAGGACATTTCAACAGCTGCTTCTCTTTCATATCCAGGCAAGAACTTTTGGTACAGATGGGTTAAACTCAAAATCCCAAATATCCTTTGCATCAAATTGGTCTGAGGGGAGCTATATATGAATTTGCTTTTCACAATTGTAGCCCTCCCTCGTTGCCAAGTCTTGCTTTCAGCATTCCCTGACTCCAAATGTGTTAAGCCAGCTGTTACCTTCACTGTGCCTCTCTCTTCGTGCATAGATAGGTGAGCTGTCTGAGCTGGGACAGGACCTGGGTGAGGAGCTGGTGGGTGTGCTCCCTAAGCCCTCCTGGGAGAGGGTATTGGTCAGGGGTCGGTAACGGATGAGAGGAGAGGAGGAAAGCTCTTCCTGTTCCAGGGACCTCTGTACTGTTGAGGCATCAAAGGAAAACTCAATGGTGCGAGTGAAGACTGAGGAACTAGAGAGAGATGATGAGGCATGGAGGGAATCATGAAGAGGGGATCTCACGTGATAGATTGGGCTTCCACAGCCTTCGCCCACCTAGAGAGGAAAGCAGAGATCAGGTAGCATGGGTTCACCTTAGAGACATCTCACCAAATCTCATCTAGGCACACCCAGGAGAGAGGGTGCCCTTCAGAAAGGCATAGAAAGAAACATGAAATTCATCTGAGAAATACGTTTCTAGGGTACATATTAACTTCTCCCAAACTAGTGCACTGTCAGTTTGTTAGACTACTCTTCCCAGAATTCTTGAGTCTTTGGGCATCCCGGCAAAATAATCTGAACACGTCCATTTGAGTTGTTTTAATTACCGAACTGGCAACTGGTGATATATTTTAATAACTTAACTCCCCATATAGCAGAAGAAATAGTAACATCGTCATAAACCGATGGATTATTTGTTCAACTAGATTAGGTAACCTTTATGTTCTTAATTGGTTGGCAATTGTAGTCAAAATCCAACGGCCAGTTCTTCCTTTCCATCACTGCTATTCTTTCCTCCTCCCCCCCCCATTTATATATTGATCATTATTGTCTTATCATCTACCTCATTATTTTTGGCAAAATGTACAGCACTCCACTTTCTTGAACAAGAGCCAGCATGCTCTAAGTGCTAGGTTATTTTGGATAATGTTCACATTGATATTGAAAGAGTATATAAAATGAATGAATATGGAGGGTTTTTTTAAAAAAAAAGTCTGTCTATATCCTGAGTGGAATCCCTACTGAATATAGCAAAGCTTACTTCTGAGCTAGTGCTTTGATTAAGTCAAGGAAGCAGTTACTTAAAGCTATAGACTGTGATTAAGGCACCATGAGCTGCCCAGAGTAGTTGCCTCAATTGCTCCTAAAACAGGCACTTCTTCAAAGTAGAATGTCACTCCAACATGGGATATCACTTTTGGAAAGAAACCTCAAAGTGATAGTGAGATGGCTGTGGCATCTTTAACCACTAGCCACTATGATTGTCACATACAGCATCATTTGGAAGATCTAGTAAAAGAACTGTTGGATAGATGGCCAACCAATTGGAAAGTGAATAGTGCTCTTGTTTTTTCTAAGAAGGGAACGTCCAGGAAAAATGGTTGGGAAGACAGGTGTGGGGAGTTCTACACTCCCTGCTCCTAGCATTGGTTCATTTAGACCATCTCTCTCTCTCTCTCTGTGTGTGTGTGTGTGTGTGCGTGTGTGTGTGTGTATCTGCACCAAATGTTCAGAATAAACAACTATTGTGTGTGCACATATGCATGCATATATTTGTGTATGTGTATGCAATAGTTTCTTCATTCTAGAATATAATTCTAGGCAAATATAATAAAATATAATAAAACTTGGGGGAAATGTAAATTTATTTTATTACTTTATTTATCCTGTCTTAATTATTTTTATAACTAACCCAAGGCAACAAATATATCTAATCCTCCTTCTCCTGTTTTCCCCACACAATGAGGTGAGTGGGCTGAGAGAAAGTGACTGGCCCAAAGCCACCCAGCCAGTTTTCATGAATAAAGTGGAGCTAGAATTCATAGTCTCTTGTTTTTAGCTTGGTCTTTTAACCACTGGACCAAATTATGGCAGCTAAAATTTTTAAAAGTTTGAAACTTTTTTTAAAAACACACATTTTTTTTAAAAAGAATAAAAAGGTCATAATCATAAAACATAGTACTTTTAGAAATTCTCATTCATTTTCTCTTTTAAGATGTACATCAAGAGTACTCTGTATTTGTTTTATTATTAGTTCAACACACTAAGCTGAAGTCAAACAAACCACATTGTTAGTGTGAAATGCACAAAATATCATAACTGGCTGCATCAATAGTGCAATATAAGCAAGTACCATCTGGGCACCAACCTTCTTGTCCTGGATATCATCACCTTCTGTTGAGCTGACACTGTCTCTCAAGCGGGACCGAGAGGGTCGCTGTCTCCTGCCCTTGGCTGAGAGTTGGGCACGGGCCTTCTGTAAACTGCTGTCCAGCCTCTGGGTCTCTGGAATCACATCATTAAAATCTGGGAGTGAAAGAGAGAAACGGGAAGGGGAGCAGAATGGGGCAGGGGGCAGAAAGAGGCAAAAAAGAGCGTTGGAGAGAATGGGAGAGATGGAGGGATCATAAAGAAAAGACAGAGAGAAGTAAGAACAGCACAGAGATAAGGAGCGAGTGCACAAGACAGCGTACAGGGCAAATGCAACCAAGAGAAGAGAAAGGAGGAGGAAGAGAGCAGTTCAAATAAACCCCTCCCAGGAGAGACGCAAAGAAAGAGGCAGTGGAATGAAGGGGTTAAAAGGGAGAAAAGATACAGAAAGAGTGTTCAGAGAAGAGAGGAACACATTGACATTCAGCATCCTCTTTTATAAATATATGATGGGAAGCTGGAGCTGGCATATCATAATAAATAGGCTTTTTATAGGATTGGTGACTACAGATCCTGACTCCATGGAGATTCTTGATAATCGAACAATGGCATCAAGACAATTTTCTCCATCCTTCCTACTTGCTCTCCATCAAGCATATGCTAATCCACCTACAGTGATTTCTTGCACATAAGACCACATCCAGATGACAAGCTATTGTGTATTACGTTCACCATATTGTGCAATTGACTTTAGCTGCATCTCTTACCAAGTCCTAATGGAAATTGTTATGTTGGTTACCTGTAGCCTCCTTTTGTGAGTTCATTGTGCAATATTGCTAGAATGAGGATACATGCCAAAAATCAGTCTTTGCCTTAGAGTGGTAAGCTTGATTTTCCTTGCAAAAATTAACTTTCTGAATTAAAATATATCAGATGAAACAGATAGAATTGATAGGATTACACCTGAACCAAAAATTTAGAATCTGAGATTGGATATGCTAATTAATTGTATCAGAACTTTCAGCCTACTTTGTCCCACTATTCCAGTCTTATGGAAATTATATCAATACACCACTGTTATTCAAAATAGAAGAGGAAGAAAGTCAGAGATGGAGGACCTATAATCCTTCAGATCAGTGGTGAAATCTGAACCTTTTTGCCACAGGTTCACTGGCCGCACGTGTGTGGTGCGCACCAAATGTGCATTGCGTGTGCATGCACAGTGCACACCAAACACACGCTGCACACACACGTGCAGTACACACCACATGCGTGCTTCGCACGGAAAAAGGAGACTTAGGAAGGTAAGTAGAACAGCGAGGGGAGGAACAGCTGTGCCGTGCGATTTAGATTCACTAGAAAGCAGGATTTCCTACTTTCTAGCGATTTTAAATCGCACCGCAAAGCTGATCGTCAGAAATACCGGTTTGAAGGAACTGGTAGCTTTTTTTTAATCACTACTGGTTTGCCCGAACTAGTGTGAACTGGTAGTATTTTACCACTGCTTCAGATGTTGCTAAATTACATGTTCCAGCATTCTTTTCCATTCCCCACACAAGCTGGAGCTGCCAAGATGTACAATTCTACAAAATCTGAAGAGCTCAGTATGTTATATAGCTACATAGACATTACATTTTGTTTCTGAAGAGATGGAAGATGGTAAACAGTCAAGACCTATTGTATCTTGAAAGGTACTTATTTTGAGAAATTAAATGAACTAATGCACATCGTTCCACATTCATTAATTTTGAAAAAGTCACTTTTGAAATGCTATCATATATTGCATAATTAATCTTGGCTACTATTGACTTTCACTTGGAAATCAGTTGACATCAATTGGATGTCAACTGATTTTGATAAACATTGGTGGTAATATAATCTTCTCACCCAAATAGATCCATTTGGGTTAAATACTTATTCTATATTGGATAAAATGACTTGTCTCCAGACATGGTGGATGCTCCAACACTGGAAGTTTTTAAGAAGAGATAGGACAACCATTTGTCTGAAATGATAGAGGCTTTCTTGCCTAAGCAGGAAGTTGGACTAGAAGACCTCCAAGGTCCCTTCCAACTCTGTTATTCTGTTCTGTTTTATTTCTAGAAGATTCAACAGTCTACTCTCAAATAAGCAAATGATGAGTTGCATCCTAAGTCTTTCCTTAGAGAAATACTTTTGTTTATTCTTTTTTGTTGAATGTTTTGTTGAGGAAATAAGCATCTTCCTCCTGCTGCTCTGTTATCAGTCGCTGCTTCCTCCCAAATAACAAATAAGCCTTTATAACAAATAAGAGTGACAGATAAGTTACACTGTGCATATATTTGAGGGTAGCTCCTATTCATGGACCTAGTCCAATTTATAGATTAATAATATGATTATACATCTCTCTCTCCCACTCTCTTTTATACACACACACAGTTCTTAAATATTCAGATTCTCTCCCACCTGCAGAGATACAATTGCACATTTACTGTATATTCTCACCATTTCAAGAACATTTTCCTTAGATACTATTTGGTTCCATGCACTGAATGAATCAAGTAAACTGGTTATTTTCAGATAAATATGTGTGATCTTTCTCTCTCTGTATGTGTATAGTCCTATGTACACCTGGGTATCTTTTGAATATTGAGTTAGTTATATTTAATTTATCACACAGAATAAAAAATAGTGAAAAACCTTAATATTAGAGGGCACGAAATATCAAACAGCAGCAAGCAGGACAGATAAATACAACCTGCTGAGTTTTGGAAAATGAACATTTAGACTTTATGGATGTTCTTGGCCAAAGAACTCTTGCTCCATCAGTTTTAGGTATGGGAAAATTAAATCTCTATGGAGAATTCCATGTAAACTGGAAAATTTTGAAATATTGCTATCCTATAGAATGGTGTTTTTGAATAATCTTAATGTAGGCATTGCTTTAGCAGAGAATGGAAAATCTCTTTGTATCCCTATCTCATTCACCCAGAACCAAGGAATAGATTTTTCCATTTCCTGTCAAGTAACATAAGTCAATGCTTTGTCCTACTTCTCTCTTAATGTAACTGGATTTACTGAATCTATCATCATGAAAAAAATACCTAGCCCATCAATATAGCAAAGGTAGTGAGACCCAACATCTAAACTTGTAGATATAATTAATTTGCCATAACTGAGATTTAGTCTAAGAGGGCAAAAAAAACAGTAGCAATCTTCATTTGGTTTGTGTGATTTATACTGAGTGAAATTGGGGTATTCTTGTCTGAGTATGAATACATTACATGGACTCAGAAAGAGTAAATCTGACTTGTTTACTATGCTAAATAAAACTCAGCTTTATTTATGAATTCTTAGTGCCATTAATTAAATGATTATATTAACATTCACCATTTTTCAATGCAGCTTTAAGGTATGTAAGAAATAGAAATGAAAATATAAATGCAATTTAAAAAGAAACATCCAGCTAATAACGAAGGTGTTAGCTTTGGTGTTGTGAAGGATCTTGTGTCCATTTCCCCAAAGACAGAGCAGTGACAGTAGAAGCACACCGCCAAAACCAGAAGTATTCTCATGAAGATTATCTCTCTGATTTTGATTAGTCTATGGATAAAATAAAATTGAAGGGACACGGTGGCTCAGTGGCTAAGATGCTGAGCTTGTCAATCGAAAGGTCGGCAGTTCAGCGGTTCGAATCCCTAGTCCTACATAATGGAGTGAGCTTCTGTTACTTGTCCCAGCTTCTGCCAACCTAGCAGTTCGAAAGCACATAAAAAATGCAAGTAGAAAAATAGGGACCACCTTTGGTGGGAAGATAACAGCCTTCCATGCGCCTTTGGTGTTTAGTCATGCCAACCACATGACCACGGAGACATCTTTGGACAGCGCTGGCTCTTTGGCTTTGAAACGGAGATGAGCACCAGCCCCTAGACTTGGGAACCACTAGCACCGTGATGGCGAACCTATGGCACGCGTGCCACAGGTGGCACGTGGAGCCATATTAGTGGGCACGCCAGCTCAGCTCTGGGGCGCATGTGCGCGCTGGCCAGCTGATTTTCGGGCTTTCTGGGCCCACCAGAAGTAGGGAAACAGGCTGTTTCCTGCCTCTGGAGGGCCTGGGGGGGTGGGGAAGGCCCGTTTTTTTTTCTTACCTGGCTCCAGATCCTCTCTGTGTATCTGGGAACGGCGAAAACAGCCTTTCCCACTTCCTTGGAGGCCCTATGGAGGCTCAAAGGGCCCATTTCCCCACTCCCGGTGGGACAGGAAGTGACTTTTTTCCTAGAGACTCCTAGAGAGGCTCCTAGAGACTCCTAGAGAGGTTCTGGAGGCTGAGGACAGCAAAAAATGTCACTTCCTGTCCCACCGGGAGTTGGGAAATAGGCTTTTTCAGCCTCCGTAGGGCCTCCAAGGGAGTGGGAAAGGCTGTTTTTGCCGTTCCCAGATACACAGAGAGGATCTGGAATCAGGTAAGAAAGAAAAACGGGCCTACCAGGCCATCATGTGCCAGGAGCGGGGAGGAGGGGGTTGCGCACACATGTGCGTGGGCACGTGCGCGCATGACCCTTCCCCGCCCCCCCTCCTGGCACGCGATGGCAAAAAGGTTAGCGATCACTGCACTAGCACATATCTGCAAGGGGAACCTTTACCTTTACCTTATGGATAAAATAATTTGTAAATCTCAAAGGACACAAAGATGGAAAATAAACAAAATGGCATATTTTTCTGGAGTTAAACCAGTGGTGGGTTGCCCCCAATTCGGACCGGTTCTTTATCTTTATCTTTTATTAGATTTATATACCACCCTACTCCCGAAGGACTCAGGGCGGTGAACAGCCATAAATAAAACAAATATAATATAAAATTTAAAAACAGTTAGAAAACATATTAAATAGATTCGGCCCACTAATTAAAACACCCCTATTTTTAAGAACAGATTCGAATTAAAATTAAACAATTAAAAAGGGTTAGGCCAACCCCGCTTGCTGGAATAAAAAGGTCTTGAGGGCATGGCGGAAAGTGCGCAAATCCGGGATCCTCCATATCTCTGGGGGGAGCTCGTTCCAAAGGGCAGGTGCCCCCACAGAGAAGGCTCTCCCCCTGGGGAGTGTTTGGCCAACGGCACCCTGAGAAGCCCCTCTTTGTGGGAGCGTACTGGCCGGTGAGAGGCTACCGGTGGC